ACTCTCAGAAGGTCTTGCATGCTTCCCCGATTGCGGAATAACGCCTGACGGGGAGCAGACCAGGTCTTCCAAATTGTGGTGAGAGTTTCACTGATAACTCTCAGAAGGTCTCGCGTGGTTCCCCGATTGTGGGAAAACGCCTCACGGGCCGGCAGGCCCCTTAGGGGCGGCGCGGGCGGGCCGGAGCCCAGCCCCTTGCATCTCAAAGTAAGACAACCATAAGGTAAGCTGCGCTGAATGCTATCATAAGATATTGCATCCTAAACGAAGGTTACAAACGAAAGGTAAGCTGCATTGAATGCCGCGCTGCAAGGACCAGACATTGCAAGACGAGAGAAAACGACTAATGATGCTTGACAATTTCGCGCTGCTATCACAAGGAATACAAGGGGTCGGCGGATGTGGCGTAAGCCTGTAGAATCTAGCTGCTGCACTCGGGGGGGAGCGAGGAAGAGAAAGATTACAGCATTCTTGTTTCTGGCATCCGCCGGCACACAGCACGACAAATACCAGCAACACGATCTTGAGCTACACAATGGGCTGCTGCAGTACGACGGCGTGCAGTACGACGGCGTGCAGCACGACAGACTCCAGCAGTCCGACGCTGCACCACGGCGGAGTGCTGCACCCGCGACCATGACAGCAGAGTACACGTAGCACGACAGATACCACCGTCTCGACTCCGAGCGCATGCCGATGAACAGCACGGCGGAGCAGCACATCTTTGTACGGCACGACGGGCTGCAGCAGTACGACATTGAACAGCAAGACAGCCCACCTGCAGCACCAAGCCCCAGCAGTGCTGGGCACCCCCAGGACAGCGTGGGCCCTCAATCGTTTGGTCGGGCTTCGGTTTCTGATTGTTTGCTGTTTTTTTGCTGGTTCTGGTTGCGCTGCTTGGATGTGTCTTGGGGCTTCGTTGGGGCTTCTGTAAATTGGTGTGTCTTCTTTCACCTGCAGGCTCTGACCGGGATCCGCCCTCAGGAACGAAGTTGGCTGCAAGGTGCACTACGAGTTCTGGCCGCACGACGTGGGGCGGCATGGCGGGCACCTGCAGCGTGAGGCCGGGACCGGCGCGTGTGGGCAGTTGCCGCTTTCACTCCCAGCGGACGGGGATTTTTGAAACCCTTGTGGCTACACTGCGGCCCTCTTCGGGCTCTCTTGGGGCTCTCTCGGGGGCCCTCTTTGGAGGCAGCCGATCAAGAAAGGGAGGCTGGGGTGCGCTCGCCACGCGTTCGCATCCCTGGGCGAATGCTTGCGGTGGCCACGTAAGACGAGGCCAGGATGAGGATAAACTCGGGTGAGGATAAATCGAGAATCTCTGAGATCCGGCGGCCCTGGAGGATGTCTCGGGGGTCGCGGCATTCTCAGAGCGTTCCAGAACGCTCTGAGAGCATTCCAGTACGCTCTGGAGCAGATTTACCCTCGTCCTGGCCCCGTGTGAGTCATCCAGGGGCCTCGCGATGGATGCACACGCGGAGGGCCAGCGTGCGCGGCCACAGAAGGGCCGAGGCGCTGGAACGACACGCGGCCGCATCATGTGTGCCTGGCTCTCTCGCCCAGGCTGGCCGCAGGTCACGTGTGTCCAGCTTCCCGGTAGGGACGCGCCAAGAGCTGCGAACAATAGTTAAGCCTGTTGTGATGTCCTTTCCTCCTCCTCCTCCTCTTTTGCAGGGCTCGGCCAACATTTTTTTTTTTTTTTTTGTTTTTTTTTTGTTTTTTGGTTTTTGTGTTTTCGTCGTCTCTCGTTTTGTCTCCAATCCGCCTTTGCTGCAAAACGAACTCGAAACGAAAACGGCTCACGAAATCGCCAGAACGCCGTTCAGGTCGACCCCTGCTCCTCGGAGGAGAAGCTGGAGGATGCCCGCTCGAAGTAAGGCAGGCCTCGCAGCACGGCCCTAATGCCCACTAAACATTCTTCCGCACTCGGTGCCAGCTCAGCACGCGCAGGTTGCGCTCGGCTCCTAAGGAAAGCCCTGTTCGCACATCCTGGTCCGTGACAGGCTTTGTATGTTGCCAGAAATCGTTGCACCCCGTCCCGAGAAGGAGGACGAGGAGAAGGAGAAGGAGGAGGAGGAGAAGGAGGAGGTTATCTCCTCTCCTCTCCTCTTCGTCGTCGTCGCCGTCGTCGTCGCCGTCGTCGCCGTCGCCGTCGCCGTCGCCGTCGCCGTCGCCGTCGCCGTCGTCGTCGTCGTCGTCGTCGTCGTCGTCGTCGTCGTCGTCGTCGTCGTCGTCGTCTTGGTCGTCGTCTTTACCGTCGTCTTTGTGGTGGTCGTCGTCGTCGTCGTCTTTACCGTCGTCTTTGTGGTCGTCGTCGTCGTCGTCGTCGTCGTTTTTTCGTGTCGTCATCGTCTCGTCTCGTCTCGGCTCGGCTCGTGTCGTGTCGTCGTCGTCGACCCCCTCTTCCACTGCCTCCTGGTTCTCGTCCTCCTTCCCTTGTTCCTTCCTCCTCACCTCCCTCCTTCCCTTGCTCTCTTTTTTTCTCTTTTCCTTCCTCCAT